TCAGGTACAATTTCACCATCTTTCCTCATGTAATACACCAGCAATCGACAAGAAGACACTGGTAATGTCTGAGGCAATGAAAACTCCAGAGATCCTTCGGCAGTTGTTTGGCTGGTGCGTTTGAAAGGAGAAAGGCGAGTTTTACCAGAAACATATATTTGGCCAGCGCACATCAGCTAAAAAAAAAGGGAATTTTAATATATCAATAAATAGTAATCTTGTCCTCAGTCTACTCTCAGTTGTTCGGTGTGATGTCACTTGTTATTTGCCTAGCGACTGTATCAAGAACCGCATACGTCATCGTGGGGACGAGCATAAATAAATAGCATAGTACAACGGAATAAAGTCGTGTTGACAAATACTCCATCTCGAATTCAAAGCAAACAATCTTTATTTGACAACAGATTGTCTTGTGCAAAGACCTTATAGTAAACTAAAGAAAGGACGAGAAAATGTCGTTCTTACAATAGCCTTTTCCAAGTTGAGACTAACACTGTATTTCCAACAGGAGCATAAAAAGTCAAATTTCGCCCTTCTTATGCACCAGTCATTGTAAATCCCCGCCCCCCCCCAACCCGGGAAGGGCAGTAACTTAAGCGGGGGAAAAGTAGGAATTTTAATGCTACAAGTTCCCCGGGTACCGGAGTCTTGGATGAGATTTTCGTCTTCGGTTCTCAACCCGGGGATTTCATGCTAAATGGAGAGGTACTGGGGTCGAGAAGGAGAGACTTTCAAGATGGCGGAAGGAAATGTGAGTATCGTGAATGATATGTATTTGTTTCCATCCTTCGATTCTTTCTTGACATCCACACATACTATCACACACAAAAATGACTTTAAAGAATCTTGTAGGGTTCAAAATGTTTATTTTCGTTTTTGTGACTTTTTAATGTTAATTATTTAYGTTTCRAAGATTTYGTCGCTATGCAACCRTTTGTGTTTGCATGTTGAAAGATATTTTTCGGTTCATTGAACCTTTTGTTTTGAACAATAACCTCGCTATTAAACGTTTGCTACACGTATAAAGCTTAAGTTATGAATTGTTTTGCAATATATATCTATCGATTATATGTAAATATGTGTCTAGAAAAGCAGTAAGTCTTAAATCCTTTAAGCTTAAAAATTCACTTAATATGATTTTGATTTTAAGCTTATAAGTCTTTATTAAGTAAATAATTATATCTTAATGTTCTTTTTCATTTCTACTGTACAGGCACTCGTAGAATTTGGAGAAAGGCGAAAAGTTTTTCCAATTTGTGGAAAAACTTTTTGTTCTAGCTGGAAAACAATTGCGGATGGGTTTGATCTCTGTGACATAAGCTTAAATGATTATATTTTCCAAGTTTTTGACCCAGAATGGGATTGCTATATTGATATAAACAATGATGAAATAATAAAAAAAAAATCAAAGCTTAAGCTAATAAGAAAGGTATTGTATTAACAACTGCCTAATATAGAATATATAGAATTCTGATGTATGTTATTTGGTATGTTTTTATAGGAGGTACAACAACAACAACAACAACAACAACAACAACAACAAGTACAAGGTATACATTTTTTGTGTTTTAAACATGGGCTTTTATAGTATAAATTGAATTTTTTGTTAAATAGGAGCATTCGTATCCTTTTTTGATATATAAGGTAGTTGATATGCAAACACTAAAAGAGCTGGTGCAGTACTTTACACTATTTACTGCACAACAGTGCTAATCAAACAATAGAAAACAATAGAATTAGCAAAATTTAGTGGAATATATGCTGCACAGTTACAGTGTTTAATATACTGTAAATCGATATCCATTGTGTCTTACTTAAAATTAATATTATAAAAAAATGATATCCTTTGTAAATAGAGACTGTATGTTTTTTTATGCAGATGAAGCTGAGAAACCGCCTGCATCTTCTACCATAGGTACTGCAAAAATGTGGAAATTCTTTGTTTACAAGATTGTAGATGAAATGTTTGTTTCCTAATGTCAAATGAACTTACTAGCAATGGCTGTCCATAAAGTATTGTTGTAAATGTTTTATCTTTATGTTTGATAGTATTGCTTTAGTATATCATTACAATAGGTAACATGTGTATTATTTTAATTGTTTTAGGTGACCAAAGAACCTTATCTGTTCAAGGAAACCAGATAACACTTGGACCATGTGCAAAGGTAAAAAGGATTATGCATATATTCAAATAATATTGACAATTTTGATATGTATGGTAAAACAGCTTTTTATATATGTAACAGATTCAAAATAGCTCATTGGAAACAATAAGCTTACAAATTGATCCATCCAAGTTGAGGAAAGAAAGTGAAATCTACAAAAACATCAAACCTGGTTGCTTCTTGTATGATTATCGTAATGCAATCAATAATGCAGCTTATGAGATAGCTTTAGAAAATCCACAGCTCACTTCAAAGAAGGGGGAATTACAAAATCTGGCCAAGAGAAAAGTTGATAGCAGTGGTTACATGTACAAGAGAAAAAAATCAAGATCATCTGATTTGTCACCTAAAGATGTCCTAGATCTATCTGCACCTAAACTAACACCATCCTTGCGTTTAAAGAGGATTGCACTGATTGAAGAAGATCTGAAAGAAGTAAATCTTGAAATGACATTAATTGAGCGATCGCGATTTAAAGCACGAAATGTTGATAATGATGATAGAGCAAGGAGACTAACACAGGAAATGAAGCCACTGAGAGAAAGAAAAAGGTGTTTACAAGATGAGCTAGCTTGCTTACAAAAGAAAGAGGCTAAATCAGTCCTGCAAAAGAAAAAGAGGGATAATAAATCTCCTCCGAGTACCACAGTAACTCCACCTAAAGTAATTCAACAAATCACAATTGATGAGTTATTAAACAAAGGAAAGAAAGATGATGCAAAGGATCCAGTTCTAGTGGATGGTGATTCAACCACTGAATCTCAAAATAATGAAGCAGATCATTTTTTATCCACAGACGTTCTGCAGAATTGATTGACGAAGACTTCAACAACTTTATTCTGCAGACTCGAACTAACTTAAGTGAAAATACAAAAGATAAGGATGGTCTTTATGTGTCCCATTTAAAAAATATTTCTTTGAATCAGTTTATCACATTTAGACCTAGATTGTGTTCCAACAATCACAACAAGGACTGCAGTGAGTGTTCTTTGTTGGTTAAAGTTGCATTTGAGATTTTACAAAACGAAGTTTGTGAACTTTCTACACTTTACAGAAAACATTTCTCGTCAGTATATCGCTCTTCGAATGCGATAAGACGGCTTATGAAATTGCCAGTTGTGGTTTTTAGAGTTGGTGAAATTGGCTTTCAAAAGTTGTATGTTGTTGAGAAGCATGAAGACATTGACTACCAGAAAATGGTTCGCTTGATAGATAATTTCACTCTGCAAACAAAACTGGAAAACGGAGGAATCAGAAAAGAAACTTTACGTTCCCTTTGTAATTTAGCATCGACAGAAAGTGACAGAAAACTTATACAGTTTGCTGCTTGTGAAGCAAGTAAATACTCAAATAAAAAAGCTCAGAATGCGTTTGGAATTCAAAGTGTCTCGAAGCTAAAAGATGATGTAAGGAATGCTTTAAACGAAGCTAAAAGAATAAGAGAGGAAGTAGCCGAGTTAGCTCTGGTCAAAGAGAAGTCAGCTCTTCGTTGTCTTGGTTTCTACACATGTGAAAGCGAATCATCTGACAGTGATACTGAAAATGAAACTACACAAATGTCTGAAAGATCTGGGCTACCCATTGATTGGATCAGTGATGAGGAAAGTAATGAGGAAAGAAATGAGGACTGTAGTAATAAGGCAGATTCAGATAGTTTCATACATGAAAATCCAGCAGATATTTTGGTATGCAAACATCCAGAAGCTAAAGATAAAAACAGTAATGATCTCAATACTACTAGCCCTCAAGAAAAGGAAGGAAGAGGCACACAACACATGGATCCAGATAAAGATCTCAACAAGCAGCGTCATGTATTTTCACCCAACCATGACCATTTACTTCTTATGTTGAGAGAAAACAATTTGAATTGGTTTTCTTTTGTTGGAGAGCTGCTTCTGTTGATGCGACAATACAGCTTCGAAGTTGTCAACCAAGTTCTTGTGGACTTCAGTCAAAATCTGTCTACAATGGACTTAAATGATGAAGAACATGAGAGGGTGGAATTATCTAGACAAGCATATTTAAGAGAGCGGGTCAGGGAATATCGACCACATGTGTGAAAAACGGAAAAATCAAAAAATCCCAAAATATTCCCAAAGACAGTTTTCTATGAGTTATTGACGAAGAAAATATCGATAAGCCAGCAAGTGACTTATTTCAGGCAAACCAGGACATTTTCAGTTCGACGGCTTTACGGCGGCTTCACAAAGGACAAAAATCGATTCTACAAAAATATCAATAAAAAAATGAATTCGTCAAATAACTACAATTAAAACATATATTCTTTAAAAGGGATGTTTATTTCATCTTCTGAGCTTATTTTTATACAAGTACACGTAAATTACAATTTTTAGCAAACTTTTGAATGTATGCGTGTTTTTATTCAATTTCAGCATCGCTAAAATACACGATTTTCAGAGGCCAAAAATGTGTATTGCTACATGACCTGAAGAAATAAAACCAAGTTCCGAAAAATTATGGGTATTTCTTCTTTACAAAAATGCAATAAAATTTTTGGGCTGCTAAAACTACGAATTTTCAGAGGTCTTGAATCTGAGGCCATCAGAGGTGTGAAAATGTCTCAACACCGGGGTCACGCGATCAACAAAAGCTTTCGCAAATCACACAGAACTTTCCTAAATTATCGAAAACTATTAAAATAGCAAAAATACATCCTCGGGACATTG